GTCTGACTTCTCTCATTCAACATAATTATTTGGAGATTCATTCAGGCTGTTGTGTGTGTTGGAAGGCTATTCCTTCTTATATCTGAGTAATACTTATTTCATTATGTGGGTATAGCATCATTTGTTTATCCATTCAACCTGTTGATGGGACATTTGGGTTGTTTCTTGGTTTTGGTTATTGCAAATAAATCTTTTATGATCATTCACACACAAGTCTTTGTATGAATAAACTTTCATTTCTCTTGGGAAATTACTGAGGAGTCCTATGATAGGTGTATGTTTAAATTGTATTTAATTTTGGAGAATGCCTGGGTGGCTCAGTCGGTTGATCATCCGACTTTTGATTTCAATTCAGGTCATGATCTCATGGTTCGTGAGTTTGAGCCCCATGTTAGGTACTGCGCTGGCAGTGCGAAGCCTGCTTGAGATTCTCTCTCTCTCTCTCTCTCTCTCTCTCTCTCTCTGCCCCTCCCTATGCACTCTCTCTGTCTCTCTCAAAATAAGTAAACTTTAAAAAATTATATTTAACTTTAGGGGCGCCTGGGTGGCGCAGTTGGTTAAGCGTCTGACTTCAGCCAGGTCACGATCTCGCGGTCCGTGAGTTCGAGCCCCGCGTCGGGCTCTGGGCTGATGGCTCAGAGCCTGGAGCCTGTTTCCGATTCTGTGTCTCCCTCTCTCTCTGACCCTCCCCGTTCATTCTCTGTCTCTCTCTGTCCCCAAAATAAATAAACGTTGAAAAAAAAATTAAAAAAAAATTATATTTAACTTTAAAGAAAATTGACAAACTATTTTCCAAAATGGTTGTACCATTTTATATTCTCAAAAGCAGTGTATGAGGGGTACCTGGGTGGCTCAGTTGGTTACAAGTGTCCGACTTCAGCTCAGGTCATGATCTCAGAGTTCGTGGGTTCAAGCCCCGCGTTGGGCTCTGTGCTGACAGCTCAGAGCCTGGAGCCTGCTTCGATTCTGTGTCCCCCTCTCTCTCTGCCCCTCCCCTGCTCATACTCTGTCTCTCTGTCAAAAATAAATAAACATAAAAAATTAAAAAAAAAAAAGCAGTGTATGAGAATCCCACTTGTTCCACATTCTCATCAATACCTGGTCTGGTCAGTCTTTTTTATTTTAGCCACTATAGTAGATGCATGGTAGTATTCTAGTGTGGTTTTCATCTGCTTATCCCTAATGACTAATGATATTGAGCATTTTGGGGTGTGCTCATTTGCCATCTGCATATCTTCTTTGGTGATGTATCTGTTCAAATCACTTGACAACTTTAAAGATTGAGTTATTTTCTTAATCCTGAATTTGGAGACTAAAAAAAAAAAACATTCTGACTACAAATACTTTATCAGATATGTGATTTGCAAGTATTTTCTCCCCATATTTGGTTTCTTTTCATTATCTTCCAAAGAGCAGAAGTTCTTAATTTTGATGAAGTCTAACTTATCAATTTGTTCTTCTTTGGATCATGCTTTTGGTGCTGTTAAGTGATATGTCTTGAAATAACTTTTTAATGCATTCCATTACACCACATTCCCCAGATTCCTTCCCGTGCCAGTTACCAATTTATAGCCTCTCAGCTCCAATTCATCCTGATTGCCTGCTCTGTGAAAGTGGAAATGGACACTTGAAATAGGTTTTTCTTTGCTATCTGGCATAATGTTAAACTTTGTCAATAGATGGCACTGGTGAGACATTGCAGGAGGAAAGGGGTTTGCTTCTTCTTTCTGCTAGCTGCACAGGCTTCTGCAGCAAGCTGGGCTCCTGCAACACGAGGCTCTTGCGGTGCACACACCTTCTCTCTCCGCACTCAGTGGCCAGCAGCTTCCTTTTCAGGGTTTTGGAACAGAGCTCCTTCAGTGAGACACCTCCCTGTAGACAGATTTCCCTGGCACTGTACACATTGAATTTCCAGCAAATTCCACAGGTGTAGCACCACAGCAACTTCTCTTGCATTCAGAATTCAGTGCACTGTGCCTGTCCTTCTCCAGCAAGGTCTGGGAGTGAAGGCGTCTCTTCCTTGGGGGCGCTATTTCAGCCCCAAGTGGTGGCTATTTTATATGATATTGTATTATTTCTATTACATCTGCTATTAAAATTTTAAATTATTATATTTTATTGCTCTTTTTTAAATGTTTTTTTACTTTTGAGAGAGACAGAGAGAGACAGAGCATGTGTGGGGGAGGGGCAGAGAGGGAGACACAGAATCTGAAGCAGTTTTTTTTTTTTAATTTTTTTTTTCAACGTTTTTATTTATTTTTGGGACAGAGAGAGACAGAGCAAGACAGAGCATGAACGGGGGAGGGGCAGAGAGAGGGAGACACAGAATCAGAAACAGGCTCCAGGCTCTGAGCCATCAGCCCAGAGCCCGACGCGGGGCTCGAACTCACGGAGCGCGAGATCGTGACCTGGCTGAAGTCGGACGCTTAACCGACTGCGCCACCCAGGCGCCCCTGAAGCAGTATTTTTGTTGCTCTTCTAATCTTTAGAGTTCTCTTTACTTCTTCCTAGCCCACAGGTTGGCAAACCACGGGCTAAATACAACCCACTGCTTGTTTTTGTAAATAAGTTCTATTGGAACATGCTCACTCATCTACATATCATTTAGGGTTGCTTTTACGCTGCAACAGAGCGTAGCTCTGAGTAGCTGCAACAGAGACCATAGGCTCCCAAAGCCTAAAATATTTATTTTTCTTTACAGAAAAAGTTTAATAACCCCCATATTTGCCAGTTCCTCATTACTCCAATCTCCTGTTATGGTTCATAATTCTTTATATTAAACTTTCCCTGTTCAAATTACTGTGTGGTTTCTCTAATCTCATTGGACCCAGTCTAATACCTTATCAACCTCTCTGTCCATTTTCCACGATCCATTTTCAGGCTCATCTTCCTCTACCTATTCCATAATGTTAGTGCTGCCCCAGACCCTCCTCTCTACTTTCTGTCATCGCTTCTCTAAGCCACTCATTTGCTTACCCATCTTCCATTATTGGGTTTAACCAATGGTTTTTAATCTGGGTTCTGAGAATGAAATTTCATGCAAATTTTGTATGGATGTGCAAACGCACATACATATGGGGAGGAGGTCTCCAGCCTCATCTTTGGGCAACATGGCTTAGTAGTTAAGGGCACAGACCCTGGATACACCTTTCTTAAGTCTGAATCCCAGTTCTGTCACTATGGCCTGGGATAATTTATTTAACCTTGCTATTGCCTCAATATCCTGGTTTGTAAAATAGAAAAAAATGTAGTCCTACCTCATAGAGTTATTGTGGGAATTAAGGTAGTTAATTTATAGAAAGCACTTGGATAGGGCCTGGCACATAATAATTACTATTGAAGCATTGGCTATTATTACTATTTCTAGCACTCCCTCTGGCCCCTGTGCCCCAGCTAGACCAATGCTTTCCATTGCTCTGGTGCCCCTGCTTTCTCAGACTCTAAGCTCTCCAGTGGGCTTTTCCCTCTGCCCAGAGCACTCTTGCCTATATATTGTTTGCCCACTAGTTCCTGACCTTCCCTCAGGCCTCAGCTCAAATGTTATTTCCTCAAAGAAGCTTTTCCTGATCTCCAGACTAGGAGAGGCTTCATGCTATGATCCTTGTTGTTTCCTTCATGAGATCATGTTGTTTCCTTGCTTGAGTTCATGTTTCCCATGAGTTCATGTTGCTTCATGTTGTTTCCTTGTTGAGATCCTTCATGCTATTATGCTTTCCTTGTTTTCCCTCATAACCCTCATCATAATTTATTCAAGGTGATCCTGAATCAAGAAGTTCCTCCCTGATAGCCCATAAGCTCTGAGAGGGCAGAGGTCATTTCTGCTTGGCTCCCTGCTGTACCTCAGCATAATGCCTAGTACACTGTAGGAATACCATAAACATTCATCAAATGAATGGATGGAATGAATAAGGAACAAAATACATGAAAGTCTTTTAATAAAGGTATAAAAACCTGTATACATATTAGGTATCACAATAATGAGCATATGACAAAATCTGATGATTATTAGATAAACTAATGTTAAATCAGTAAAAAATTGTATTGTGTGAAGGAAACCTCCTCTTCAAGTTCTATAAAACACTCATTTAAATTGATCTTGGAACATGTCTTTCAGTCAAATGGAAATGAATTATCCCAATTATTGACTTGTCAAAACATCCTCTGCCTCTACCTCCTGGAAGCCAGATATAGGCCTCAGATGGTAGAGCTGAAAGGAATAATTGAACAGGGAACCTGTTTGTTCTCAGAGAATTTTCATGGCCTTAATTCAAGACAGGATTATGTATTTTCACGAGTAAGCAAAACCAACTGTGCTAATCTGAGAAATTCATTGCTACCCTGGGAGTTAATATATCTAATCCAAGTCACCAGGAAAACTATGTTCTATTATCAATTCACAAACAGGAGGAAAATAATAGCATTATAATTCAAAATAGACACAATAAAGTGATTCTCTTGTGAATGTCTTCAGGGACGGGTTGCTTACACTCCATTGGATGAAGGAATCCCTAAGGCGAAAGGATTCCTACCTTCCCATTTCCCTACCAACTGTCAGACCTCAACCGATCCTCCGCTGTCTAAATGGCCTTAGAACACTCCCCAGACGCCAATCTTTGATCTCCAGGAGAAACAATGCGGTAACTGCCTCACTGTGGGGAAAACTGAACCACGGTCTGGACTTGGGAACCGGGAGATAGAGGACTGGGGAGATTTCGCGAGAACGCTGGTGGCCAGAGGGCTGTGGGAGAGCTGGACGATCCTAGAGGTCCTAGAGGCTAGATGATTGAGGACTTTTTGCGTGTCAGAGCAAGGGTCAGCTTCTCTGAGCAGCTGGAAGCACTAAGCTTAGGACCAAGCTGTGGACTACATTTCCCAGACGGCTTTGCTCCCTGGGCTGTCGTACTGAGACTAGGGCGTGTCTGGGAGGAGCAGCCACAGTCCGGCAAGGCTTGCTGGGGCATCTCTCTCCGCTTGTGCAGCCGCAGCAGCCATCCCGCAAGATGATCGGGGTCCTGCTCCTGCTCCTCCTTCTCCCCTTTTTCCTGTACATCGCTGCACCCAAAATCAGGTCTGTGCAAATATATTGCCTTCTCTTGAGAAGAATTCAGGGTGGCGTTAGTCCTCACCGAAGCTCTGTTCTCCAAAAGAAGGAAAAGGAAAACTCCCTGGGGGGCCCCAGTAGGTCGAGGCCCGGAGTTCGGTTGGTCGGAGGAGGTCCAGCTGTCCTGGATGCGGGGGGACGAGAACAGGAGACTTCGGGCGGTGGGAGGGGGCTGCATGCCGCAGCACCCCACTTTGTTTCTCCGATCCCTTTTTTCGTCTCCGCAGCCTTTGCTTCCCGCTCCAGAGAACCCCGTGTGCAAGGCTACCTCCAACACTTAAGTTTCCAGCATTGGGGGGTTTTAGAACCTAAAATGGAGTGAGGACCTCAACACTGTTTTCCCCTTAGCTCCCACGCCTTGGACTAGTCCTATCTGGCTTCTTGCTTCCAGCCTTTGAAGTACAATGGAGCGATTCGACTTTTTGCTTTCTGAAACTGTTCCTCGATGGGAATCGTGGTATCCGCAGACCCATTGCTTGATCTCTTGTTGCTGTTAGATTCGCTTTTTTTGTAAAGGAAAGAAATGAAAGGGTTTCGTCATGAGCAGTATCCTGCCTTCAGAGCACGACTCATAACCTGGGGTTTGGGGGTGAGACAGAGAGTTTGAGGGGTAATGCTTTCTGGACCTGGTGACACAGTAGCCAATGGCTGGCTGAGTGACACAGAAAATCGGCAGAGTTGCACAAAGGCGCCTGCTGATTAGTTCTGAGTAAATCACCAGTAGTGACGGTGGACAAGTGACTGATGAGACACAACCCTTCCTGGGTGGGGGAGGCGGGAGGAGGGGCGTGGTCACCACCCACCGTCTTGCTCCTCTTCTAGTTCTTCCTCCCTTCTGAACACCTCGTGCTCCCACTCAGATGAAAACGCTTTTTATCTCTTTAAAAAATTTTTTTTTAATGTTTAATTTATTTTTGAGAAAGAGAGCATGAGCAGAGGAGGGGCAGAGAGAGAGAAGGAGACAAAGAATCTGAAGCAGGCTCCAGGCTCAACGCTGTCAGCATAGAGCCCGACGTGGGGCTCAAACTCACCAACCGTGGGATCATGACCTGAGCCCAAGTCAGATGCTTAACCAACTGAGCCAGCCCGGCGCCCCGCTTTTTATCATTTTACACCACAAGATTCTCTTACCCAAATAGAATCTCAATGAAAAGTTGAACCTGAACTGAAAATACTGCTCACGTCTCTGTGAGAGATTTCTGGGGAAGATTATGCTGCAAGGGTCATATCTGCAAACGCCTGGCTAGGTCATGGAAGCTGGCCCAGAGCTAGACTTTTCATAGTTGATTGTCCCTTTCATTCCTGTTGGTAAGGAGAAGAAAGAGTTCAGTGGAGGTCCTGATAGTTGTTGCTCCTGGAGCTAAAACTGAAAGGATGTGAGAAACTGAGCAAGGAGGCTTTTCTCTGAGAAGGAAGATAGCCTTAGGTGAGTTAGTTTGCTCGCTATCGGCCTGTGTCCACTAACCAGGTAGCGTTTGTGGCTAGGAGTGTGTGCTTTGCAGTTCTCAAGTCCAATGAAAAATACTGAAATGCTCTTTAAAATTGTATCTCCTGGTCAAGAGATTCTTTTTACTTGAGTCTTGAGATTTGCAGAGAAGAAAGAGAACAATTTGAGACCTGTTAATCCCTGTTTGTGCATTCATTTCTTTGGAAAAGAAGGATAGCACAGTGCTTAGGAACAAGAACACTCAACCAGCTCCACTTTGTACTGATTTATGTCTTTTCTTGAATAATTTAAAAAATTTTTTTAATGTTTATTTTTTATTTTTGAGAGAGAGAGAGAGAGTGCGCGCGCGAGTGGGGAAGGGGCAGAGAAAGAGGGAGACACAGAATTTGAGGCAGGCTCCAGGCTCCAAGCTGTCAGCACAGAGCCGGACATGGGGCTGGAACTCACGAACTGTGAGATCATGACCTGAGCAGAAGTCAGACGCTTAACTGACTGAGCCACCCAGGCGCCCCTAATTTGTCTTTTCTTTGTCTTAATTTTAATTGTGTGTGTGCATGCGTGTTTCTGTTTCTGTGTTTCACCCCAGGTTGACAAGCTTTCATAATTTTAACTTTTTTGTTGAATTATGTATCTCTAGGCCATAAAGTGCCTGTTGTGGGCAGATTGACATTAAGTGGACCAGTTCTTGCTTGTAGGCTGAGTCTTGTGATTCCCCAAGCCTGTCGAGCTCAAACTGAAGCCAGGTGCCTGGACAATCAAATATTTATCTAGTTGTTATACTGTAAGGGGCAGCTCTAAGGTTTGCCATTACAATAAAATCAATTTTGTTCTTGAGCAAGAGCAGAAAATTTTTCTTCAAACTTACTTAAATCTGTAAAGGGACAGTACTAGAAAGAACCAAAATAAACCTTAGCCTTGGGATTAGAAGACATGGGGGTTGCAGGAACCTCTGGCCAGGGCAAGGAGAATGAAGAACTGATGAGCTCTCCCTCCCTCTCTACAGGAAAATGCTGTCTAGTGGGGTGTGTACATCAACTGTCCAGCTTCCTGGGAAGGTGGCTGTGGTCACTGGAGCCAACACGGGCATCGGAAAGGAGACAGCCAAAGAGCTGGCTCAAAGAGGCAAGATCATCTGCTTCTAATTCCCTCCTGCTACTGCCATTTTATCCCTCACAAGGATGACCATGCTCACTATTTCCTTCTAATCTTGGAATTCAAGAACCTTCCAAGTGTCCCACAGATTCACTGGTCTCAACCTAGTATAATGCTCTGCATATAATGGATACTTAATGAATATTATTTGTTTTTCCTTTTTGATTTGCTCACCAGATACCTCTGTCGTGAAGTAGGGGTAAAATTCCGATTAAAAAAAAAAAAAAAAAACAGTAGAAAATTACATTCATAAGTCTATAGGTCTGTAATGTCCACTCCAAAGCAGAGCTGACAGTTTGTCTCTTTTATATGTTGATTGACAGGAGCCCGCGTGTATTTAGCATGCCGGGATATCCAAAAGGGGGAATTGGTGGCCAGAGAGATCCAGACCATGACAGGGAACCAACAGGTGTTGGTGCGGGAATTGGACTTGGCTGATACTAAATCTATTCGAGCCTTTGCTAAAGATTTCTTAGCAGGTAAGTGTTGAACCAGAGATTATGTTTTTGGTCTTGCAATCAACATAGCAGACTTAGCTAAAGGAAAAGGTCCTTCTCCCTCTTTAATACGTAGAAATACTAGATCGTTTATAATCAAAAACTTTCATTCATAGCTGACTCCTTAGTAACAAAGGGGAATCCTCAAGAGGCAGAAATTTAAAAAAATGAATTTAAAAAGTCATAGCATGCAAGGCACCTGGGTGGCTCAGTCAGTTAAGCGTCCGACTCTGGATTTCAGCTCTGGTCATGATCTTGTAGTTCATGGGATTGAGCCCCGCATTAGGTTCTGCACTGACAGCATGGAACCTGCTTGGGATTCTCTGTCTCTGCTCCTTCCCATTCTCTCTTTGTCTCTCTCAAAATAAATAGGTAAACATTAAAAAAAAAAAAAGTCCCAGTAATGCATAAGAACTAAAGCCAAAAATCTCATGGAAGTATCTGAACTCAATATGAGCTTTGGGGTCTGGAGTCTAAACACTCATACAGGAACAGAAGAAGATAAGGCCCCAGGGCCTGAGAGCTGGGGAGCTGTATCTCAGGCTTCACATAAGGTTGGGACTCACAAAAAGCCATCTTGTCCATGATAAAGAGGCATAAAAAAACCCTCGCCACCAGCTCTAAGGCATGACAAAAAAAGCTCATCTTCTCTTCAGGACATAGATGGTTAGAGAGTCATCTGTAAGATATTAGAACCTCAAGTTGGCATCATCTATGGGGGAGAATTTATTACATCACCAAATGATGTAAGAATCTTGAGCTGAGGAATTAACATAAAATCCTATAGAATCACATCAAAATCAAATCCGAGAGTAGTCTGTAGGCATATCCCCTCATAATACAGGGATCTTGGCCTCCCTAAGTAAACAGCTTCTGCTGATATGAGCTTATAGTTAGAAATTAAAAACCACATGAGAAAATAAACCAGGAGAAAGAGTTGTCATATGTAACAAAGAGGTGAAACCAGTATTTCTTTTGGTGCCTTTTGGAGTTCTCCAGTATCAGGGGTACATACAGAACATCCTTTTTTCTCCTGCTTGGATTCTTCCCATTCAGCCCGGGAAGTCTTTCTATTAGGAAAGCTGGGCAGAACACTTTTTCGAAAGCAATGAGTAAGTAGCTCCTTAATTGGAAAGATCGTAAAGGCCACTTGGTTGTATAAGATGGAATTTTGCTCTGTGCTAAAAGTATGTAGGATTCAACTACAGTCTTAAATAATGAAAAACAATACAAAATACATCTGAAGGGGAAATGGAGGAAAGATTGAAGCCGTGGGTCCCCATTTCTAAGTCAGACTTCTTAGGTGTCACCGCTGTGGCTGGCTGCTTCCACACTACATCTCTTCCCTGCAGAGGAAAAGCATCTTCACATTTTGATCAACAATGCAGGAGTGATGATGTGTCCCTACTCTAAGACAGCAGATGGCTTTGAGATGCACATGGGAGTCAACCACTTGGGTAAGAAATCTGGCCTCATCACAAAACTGGAGGAAACCTAAAGTTCTCCTTGGCAAACTTAGGGGTCAGATTGAGCTGTCCTTGTGATGCAATTGGACACTGGGCCCTAAAAGACCATAAGTGAATAGCGAATATTATGGTCCTGCCTGAAAGCCCAGGGATAAACTTGAGGCCCACTTGAGGCTACACCAACTTTTTAATCTGTGATTTGGATTCAATTTACTTTGGGGCATTTTTAACAGCCTAATTGGACTGAGGACTGTGTTGCTTTCTTTGTAGTGATCCTCAGGGCGAACATTAGGTAGAGGCTGCCTGCTCTTAAAGAGTGATATTAATCAAAGTTGGAAGAAGACAGAACTTCATATTCACATGTTCCAGATCCCCCTCATGGATGGATGGCTGTCCTATTTTCCTAAACCCTCACTGAGCTTGTTCTGTAGTTGATAATGAATTAATGAGGCAAAAAGCCTTATTCCTGAATTCTCTGCAGAGCTCGCCACAACTCCCTTAACCCTGACATTGGCCTTGAACTGTATTAATTCTAGTTTTTCTTGTAGGTCACTTCCTCCTGACCCATCTGTTGCTAGAGAAGCTGAAGGAATCAGCCCCATCAAGGGTAGTGAATGTGTCTTCCCTAGCGCATCACCTGGGGAGGATCCACTTCCATAACCTGCAGGGTGAGAAATTCTATAATGCAGGTCTGGCCTACTGTCACAGCAAGTTAGCCAACATTCTCTTCACCCAGGAACTGGCCCGGAGGCTCAAAGGTAGGCTTAGAAGAAATGAATATAGAGATATAAGTCAATGGGAAGTAGCAAAAAGCCACAGGAATACATTCTGTTTTCGGGAGCCTATCCCCTGGATAAAACCTGCTTTCATGACTATAACTGGGTATTATTTTAGTAAGTAGCCCAAAACTGAATATTGGAGGTGGCTGGCAGGAGATGGGGAAATTCTGACTTTGAGTCATAAGGCTTAGCTTTAGTACTTATCAGCCGTGTGACCTGTAGCAAGCTACTTAACTTTAAGGACTTATTTCCTCATAAGTAAAATGGGATTATTTTATAGGTTATTGTCCTTATTAAGTCAGGTCTCATGAGCAAGCAAGGTTTTTTACTCATAATGAGACTAGATAGAAGGGAGGGACCTGAACTGGCACTAGATACAACCATTAGGATAAAACAGGTGCTAGGACAATGGTGGGGGGGG